CATAATGCGGCTCCCCAGCTAAACGGCAAACAAACATAACGAAAAAAAGAAGAAAAAACTAAAACTGTTGCTGACGGCAACAAGGATAGAAACGACAGCAACATGCAGCAATAAACTTGAAGTTGACAATTGTAAAAAGTCAGGGTACATGTGAGAGACGGCCTCGAAGTGATACCTACCAGCAGTGATGGGAAGTATTTATTTTCATGAGTACTTCTTTATTCGAATCTTTGCTTTGACCAAAATAAAATAAGCTTAAAAATAAATTGCACTTTATGTACCTCCTTAAGGAAGGTTAAGCCTAAATTAGCATTGAATTCGGAGCTTACTTTCTTTAGCCAATATCATAATGGAATAAGTATTTGATAAGGGGTACACATAAAATGCAAAGTATCTAAACAACTTGTACCTTCAAACCAGCCCCAACCTAACATCACTGGCAAAAACTGCAAGCGCCAAAAAACAAGCAACAACCAACGGCAATCATAAAATCAACAACTATGAAATTCATCACCGCTCGGTGGAAAGCTTGCCTCGTTGACACTTCCGCCTCGCTTTGGAGTTTGGACGAGTGTATAAAGTCTGGACTGGATTTGGATCGGACGGCAGCAGCAGTAGCAGCAGCAGCAGCAGCAACAAGCACGGCAGCAACACTCAACGCAAGACAGACGACACAGCAGCAGCATCATCATCACTCACGGACGGACCGGCAGCATAACGGTGACGGGTAAGTGAAATTAATTGCATTGTTTTTGGCCAATGAATTCCTAGTTGCCAGTTTTTGTTTTCGGCTTAAACGCCTTGACGCCTTTTTGCCAAAACACCAGCAGTAACATCAACATCAGCCACCGAGCAACAAGGCCAACAGCATCGGGGGCAGAGGACATCATCACACAGCGGCCACAGCGCGCTCCTCCGTTCCTCCGTTCCTCCGTTCTGAAATCCATCTCCCCGTCCTCGGTCCAATCCCCACTCCACTCCCTGGCCCTGTGACACTTTGCAGTTCATCACATGTGATTGCCGCAGTATGTTGCACAAAACATTCAATGGGCACAGTGCTCTGGAGGCGGCAAAAGCCCCACCAAAGAATAAAAGCCTTCAATTTGTGTATTCTGCATTGGTTAGATGTATCTGAAATATAATAGAATAGTCTCTAAGCCAATTTCAAAAAATATGCCTCCGGTAGATGGCGCCATCAACTTTAATCGCGCAAGTAAGCAAGTTGAAAGCGCCCTCTGTTGTAGAAAACATGGATTTAATTTCTTGATTTTCTGAGTTACGTATTCGATTTGGAACATATTTGGAGTGTCTAAATAGTTTCGTGTGTTTGTATATATTTTTTTGTCAGCAAAATGGATAGGGTATTCTCTATTTTTCTTAAAAGAAGGTTATCAAACACTTTTAAATTTGAAATGCTTTGCAAGACTTCTGGTTGCAGTGTGCGGCAGTTAGGATGTTTTTAGAGCACTCGCTCCTGTTCCCTGCCGCTAGTGGCTGTTGTCCTCATCGCTTTATCGCGCCTAGACGCAACTCCGGCCTGGAGCGCCAGTTTCAGTGCCACAACCATGCCCATTCCCACTCCCGTTCCCACTGCCAATCCGAATACGAATGCGAATCCGAGCTCCGGCTCTATCTACCATGTCCTCCCGACTCCCTCTCCTGGCCAGAAGTCTCATGGTGGCTCTTGCTCCAGTTAGTTACCATCATCAACATGTTGACATGTCTATGACTATGACTGCATGCATATGTGTGTGTGCCGCTGACACACTGTGTGTGACAGTGTGTGTGTGTGGGTGTGGGGGTGTGGGGTGTGTGTTTGTGCGTTGCAATGCGCTAACCAAGCTCAACAGCGTTTATCACTCATGCTTATGGTCTTGTTTTTGCGGTGATATATCACACTTGACACTCATTCATTCAGTTTCGGAGTTTAGTGTTTTGGGCTCGTTATGTGCCACTCCCACTCCCACTCCCACCTAATTCCCACCGCCCTCCTCCTTGCCGCCATTTGAATTTCATCACATTCTGCGGCAGCAATGCGAACATAAACTTTCTCCACCTCCCCTCCCACCCACTCATCATTGTTTTTTTGGCAATGGCAATTGCGTAGTTAACGGTCACACAACTAACCTTAGAATTGCACTTAAAGAAATCAGGGGTGCCAGTAAGTAATAGCTATAGTTTAAGCATAGAAAAGCAAAATTTTTATGATTTAAATATTGCCTTTAATTCCAACAGAAGATCACATATAAATACATTAGTCATTAACATTATCTCACTACTTAATGTTAAAAAAAGGGCTTATAAAATTATTTCAATAAGAGGTATTTGTCCATCAATTTAAATCAAGTCATTGGCTTTACTGTCTTGACTGAATGAGTGACCCAATCGTTTTTCTTTACTCCTTTGCCGTTGATTCCTTGTGCCAGTGTTAATTTCAACGGCTATAGACGGCATCCAAAAGTGGGATTTCGGAAAATTCAAATGGAGAAGTGTGAGGAAAAGTGGCAATTCATCTATCTGCATCACTCACATGCATTTTGGAACCCTGCTCGTGGTTTTTGTGTGTTATTTGTCTTATTGTTGTTGCTCGGGTGGGTTCTGTTTGTTTTTCAATTGCTCCACAAATGTTTATGCAGATGAATTGTATTTTGAGTTGTGTTTTTGTCTGGCTTGATGCTGCTAGACAGTTGGAGCGGGAGAGACGAATTGGAAGAAAGAGATGGCTCATCCGAAAAGGACTCGGAGTCCTTCATCGTTTGATGAATGGTGGCACATGTTTGCTGAGCTTACCATAATGTTGCTGTAAGTTGTAAATTGCAACCCAAGGCAAAAAGTAATATGTTTATGTTTCTTATGTTTTATTGTTAGTTAAACTACTGAAGAAAATCAATTAATAAAAATATAAATTATATATATTTTTTTTAAATACATTATGTAAAAATAAACATGTTAATATTTTATAACTTAAAAAAAATATGGTTTATGTTATTTATGTTTTATGCCAAAGTCTAAACAGTCTTTACAAAAATAAAATCACTAAAAAAGGTTAAAGGTTAAGATATTCTTAGTCTTCGTTGTATACTTATTCTAAGATACGAAATCGCTTTTAATGTCTCCTCTAGCCAGATTAAATATATACTTTTGTTGTCCTGTTAAAAGATTTTAAAACCCTATTTTTAAAGCCCTAGTGACTAATATGTAAATTTTCTTGAAACTAAAAATTAACCCCTGCAAAGTGAAAAACAATTGAAGAGTGACAAGTTCTGTCCTTGAAGCTTTTAAATAACTGCACTTCCTTCTCCATGGTAAGCTCCTTGTGCAAGGCAAAATAAATTAAATCTCTAGAAAAATGTGGAAAAAATCACCCGCGGCTGTGCAAAAATATTCCGAAAATTTGCCAAAAATTCTGACAGGTACTTTGAACCCACAACTCGTAAACATTTGCCAGAACCATAATTTGTTGTGTGCGCAAATTGTTAGATAGATTCCATTTAACTTTTGACTCCACCTCGATTTGGGGGGACAGAGTTCCCAGGTAGCTGCCATTCAAGCCAATTGAGCTTTTGACTTTACATTTTGCTGCCATTGTATCTGGGTGCTCAACAAAACGTATCTGTAATTGTGTCTAAATTTAAAGAGAGTGCAATTTTCCATGGGCTTGAGAGGGGGGACGTCCATATGGGACGGGAGGGGGAAGAAACTGGCGCCTGCATTTTTATGGCATTCTGGCTACGTCGCCGTCGCTGCTGTGGTTGTCGTCTGGACGCGTCCGTCACCGCGGAAAAAGGTGTCGCGTTTTTTTTTTTTTTTTGGCATTCTGCATTTTTTGACAGATGGACAGGAGATGTGTGGGGTCTGAAAATAATTCCGCAGAGTCGCGCGGAAGTTGCAAGTTGTGATAAAAATCGTGTGTCAATTCGATTTGTGACGTTAACCGCTGCCTAAACAACAACAACAAAGCCAGCCGTTTTTGCAGGCCTGAAAAATGTTTCTGTTGCAATAGAAAAACGGACGCGTTACATGACATTTGTGGCAGCGAATTGGCAGCTTCCACAGGCTGCCTGCTGAATGCAATTGCAGAAACCTGACTGACAGACAGCCATTTGTTGAGGAATGGGGTAAGCGCTCCGAGGTGATTGTGAGTGCCTTGTACAGTGGTAAATTCAGAGGAAAACCTTAAGGTTTAACAAAAGGGAGAATTCGAAAAAGAATCACTTTAAAAACAGAGAACAGCCTAAAGAAGTAACGGAGGATACAAAAAAATATCAGAACATTTTGGGGCTGTCCATATATTACGCCATCACAATTTTCCCGATTTTCAAAGTCGAGCTATTATTTGAAGTGCTCTGCCGCCCCTTTGCCGCTGCTCGTCCGCTGCTCTGCCGGTAATTACTGCAGTAGAGAGACAGAACGAAAGGACTGTTAGCTGTATTTGATTTTTTTTTTAGGGGAATACTTAAATTTAAATTTGTTGACTAAGTAAAGCGTATCTAATAATCGGGAAACTCGACTATAACGTTCTTTCTTGTTTGGTTTAATTTTTATAAAAATATTTAGTTTTTTAATAATAAAGTTAAGGGTTAACAGTAGGGCATTAATAAACTATATAATTAAATAAATAAATTTTTAAAGAACTAATATTCACAATAATCGTGGCGTACTTGATGTCACTTTTCGTTACCTTAATACAACACTTAACAACATTGTTTTAAAAAAAAAACTATACCATTGTTTTGTAACAATTCACAAAATTTCACTGACAAATGTGAAGAAAAGTTTCATCCAAATAGCTTTATGATCAGAAAAGTCTGCTGTACTGCGTTTCAAACTTTTCCCTTAAGCTATAATACTCTCAGCAAGGGTATAAAATTGGCAAAACGGCGTCTCTTAGCCAAAGGGGTTTTATTGGAACTGGCATTCAATAATGTTCGTAAATCGGTTAAAGTATTTGTCTTAAAATCACGTGATTGACTGCAAAACTCAGTCGTGTTTGACTTACACATCCATATGTACAATGTACACCTATCAAATGAAAATTCTAAGTAATCCCTTTTTGGCTTTCAACGCAAGACGTCTGGGCGAACGTGGTTCGCAGGCATGGCCGACCTTGCGCCGAACCAGGTCATACACGGCCCAGATTTCTGGGGTAGCAAGTCTGCAGGAGGATGATGATGGGCAGCAGAGGCCGTCTGCCCGCCACAGGTTAATCATCCACCTCGTCAAGATGTGCATTCTGCTGCTCCTCTGGTTCGTCTGCACATTCATCGTGTTCTCATATGCCGTCGATAAGAATCCGCGGTCCACGATGGTCACCGTGATGCCCAACGAAACTGCTCTGAGGACGGTGAAGCTGCCCGGCAATGGAGTCCGAGTCACTCTGCAAGGTCCCGTGGATGGCCATCTCATGAGGTTTCCGGACGAGCACAGTGGAGGGTATGGCGCTGGTTTGCGGGTGGAGTGGCGCAATCCCGATTTGAATGTGACACATCGCCGGACGGACATGTGGAATATTGTCATAGACAGCGATGCCACAAAGTACGAGGAAGTGTCGAAGAAGTTTGTTCTTCCACGAACGGGCGGCGAAGATGCGCAGGCGGTGATCTCCCTGGAGAACTGGCTTGATTCCCCAGTGTCGCTGCACATGACACTGGACACCGGTCCGCCGATCACGGACATGGGCGTCCTCTATGCCGGCCTCCTGATCGTTGGGCTCTACATGCTGATCATCTTCGATGTGATAGATCACACCTTTGCCGCTCTGATTATAGCCACCACGGGCATTGCAACTCTCACCATCCTGGACCATCGGCCCAACGTGCATTCGATCATATCCTTTGTCAACTTTGAGCCCCTGATGCTGCTCTTCGGCCTGATGACCATTGTGGACATCATGGCGACCACTGGCGTCTTCGATTACCTGGTTGTTGGCACATACCGACTGGCCAGGGGTCGACCTTGGCCCCTGATATTTCTCCTTAGCATGCTGACCGCCTTGCTGTCCGCCCTTCTGAACAGCGACATCATGGCTTTGGCTCTGACCCCAATGACCATTCGCCTGTGTGAGGAGATGTCCTTGCGGACCACTTACGTCCTGGTCGTAGTGGCCATATTCGCGGACATGGGTGGCGCCCTGACGCCCATGGGGAATCCGCCCAACGCCATTGTGACCACCAATCCGGCGGTGATGGCAGAAGGCGTGGACTTCGTCACCTTTGTGGCCCACATGCTGCCCGGAGTGCTGGCGGCCATGCTCGTGGTCTGTGCCATCGTGTACGTCACCCACAGGACGAGCATCTTTGAGGTGGACCAACACCAGCGGGATCTGGTGGAGAAGAGGACCGGGCCAAAGAAGCAGCCCTCCCAGGCCACCCTGGAGCGCATAGCTAAGCTCAGGGAAGTGGTGCCAAGCAGGTATTGGCTGAAGCCCGCGGAAAACTATGCCGAAACCTTGGCCGCACTGGAGGCGAGCAGCCGGATCCGGAACAAGCCGCTGCTGATCAAGGGCTGCCTCGCACTGACCTTCGCCCTCATCTGCATGGTCCTGCACTCGATACCTCATGTGGCGGCCGGCGCCACCTTGGGATGGGTGACCCTGCTGGCCGCCTTCCTGCTGATCATCCTGGACGACAAGAACGATCTGAACGCCACTCTGGGCATAATCCAGTGGAACATCCTGCTGTTCATCGCCGCACTCTTCGTGCTGTCGGAGGCCGTGGACCAGTTGGGCTTCTTCCAGTGGCTCGGCGATCACACAGCGGTGCTCCTGAGGAGCCTGAAGCCGGAGTACCAGACGGCGGTGACCATTGTGGGCCTGCTCTGGACGACCGCCCTACTCACGATCCTCATCGACAACGCCGCCGTTACAATCTTCATGCTCAAGTTCAGCTTCCAGATGGCCAGCAATGATGACGTTCCCCTGCCGCCCATGATCTGGGCCCTCACGTTCGGGGCCTGTTTTGGGGGAAACGGTTCCCTATTTGGGGCCGTGTCCAATGAGATCATCGTCCAGATCGCCCTCCAGCATGGCTACAGGATATCCTTTTGCCACTTCTTCATTATTGGGTTTCCGCTGATGCTGGCCACCATGGTTATCGGCTCGGCTTATCTCCTAATTGCACACACAGCCCTAAGTTGGAACTAACACTTGCTTAAAGACCCAAACCTAGAGAACCTTTTTGTATGCTAAAGTCTTAAGCACTACGAAAATTATTCATTCCCCGCATCGTTTTAAAAATGTATAATCCCAAGTAGCGCTTTGCAAATATGTATTCATATTGCATATCTTATTAAATTGATATTGCGATTAAAGTAGCAATTTTTAGCTGATTTCACTTTTGTGGAATTTGGGCCTGCCAAAATGATTTAATGTCACTTTATTGGACAGCAATTGGTGCTGCACTTAAGCTGCAAATGTCAGGCGACGCGATATATTCAGTCATTGATTTGACAAAAACAGGTAAATAAAAAGGACGCTTAATAATTCCACCGAAATGCATATAAATTCAAGGATTTGCATATAGTACAGTGGTAAAATATGGTATCATACGAAAAATTTTTATTTTTCTTATTGAAATTCGTTGAGTTTAACCAGGGACCAGAAACATCTGTTATATGAAAAAACTTAAATTGAAAACGATAATCATTAAAAAAAATCCGATTGCACGCAGAAAAACTAATTACTTATCGTGGGCATATAATTAGCACACAAGGTGTTGTGGCTCTATTTGATACCATTATAAAGCCAACCAGCAATCTAATGCATGAATTTTGCCTTCATTAAAATCGAAAAACATTTATTATCATAAATACAACTCTTTTCAAAATTCTTAATCGTTGTTCCGAAAAAAATTCTGTTCCCAATAGAAACACGACCTTTCATAAAATTAGCAGTTTTGATTAAATTTTAAATTTTTGATTAAACGACTTCTTGCGGAAAATAGGTATATAATACCGTTGGATTCACATTTGTCCTTTCAGATTTGGTGAACAAGAATGTCAGCCCTTAGAAAATATTAATACTATTTGATATGTTTTATTCAATGATTGCTTATCTTTGTTGTCTTTAAATAGAACTTCAAAATGTTGAAATGTTCGAAGACTATAATTATGGATTGTGGTTTATTTACAATGTAAACTGTAATTTAGTTTGAAATGTGATTGTATCGGGGTTGCCTTACTGTTTGTATTGCCTGAATGCCTTTGGCCTTATTGTATTATAAAAAACCACAAAAATAAGACGCACATAAGAGGGTGGCAACAGGAAATATATTAAATAAAATAAGACTTTTGATTAGAAACAATGAGAAACAACAGATACTTGCACAATTTTCTGTGTCAGACTTTCCCACCTTTCCATTGACAATGCGCCGTGAGTTTCCATAGCGGGATGAAATTGGATTAGGAACTAAAGCAGTCAAAAAATTCAGAAACCTAAAATCGGGTCCTAAAATTCCCCATTCATGCTTAAATCACTTTTAAAGCTTTAAAACTCTAGAGTTCGTTCAAATCGAAAAATCAATATATATTGAAAAGTCAATATACATATATTTCTTTAGATTTTTAAATTTTAAAAATAGTTAACTGGTAAAAATATTGTATTTTTCATTTGTGTTGGTCAACAACTTGAGAATTGGTGGTAATTAATGCATCGAATAGAGTAAATGGTAGTAAATACATTTTAATAAGTATTAATAAAAATAACGTTTTTTCATCGTGTTTTTCCGAGTTAAAAAAACTATGGTACAAAAATGCTTCATTAGTTTTATAAAAAACCCTTTGGTTCCGGCAAGTATACTTTTGTATACTTTGTATACTTTTGTCGCATTCTGTATTTTTTCTTTGACAAGTTTGAAACGCTGAAGACGAAACACAAAACTAATAAAGATGCGTAATGGCTATCTGCGCACAAATATTGGAAAATAATTACGACGGGGAAAGCGATAAGTGTCTGAAAACGAAGGGCTGAAAAGATCGAAAAGAAATCAAACCCTTAAACTAATTTAATGTGATTTTTAAATCGCCCATCCTTTTCTTGCATTTTCCCAAGTCTGCGCTCCCCTTCCCTCCTCGCAGTCGGTGAATTTCCCTTTATCCTTTTGCGGTGCATGCAACAATTGTTCCCTGGTCACGCATGCCAGAAAGGGATGGCCTTATGGGGGGTCGTGGAGAGGCAACAATAACTTTTTAGGAAAAAAGCAGCGCAGAAATTAATGCTCTTGAAGTGCTTTAACAGTCCTCTCTCCCTCTCCCGCTCTCTTTCTCTCTCTCCCACCTCCTGTACATTGCTTCATTTTCAATTTCAATAAATAACCTTGATTTAAGCCGCAGCGTCGTCGACGCCGGCAGCGCAGTCGCCATTTGACCAGCTGCAATACAAACACAAGTACCACCCCCAGCCCCCAATCACACACACACACGGGGCAGACCGGCCACCCGCCCCCATATAAACACCTGTCACACACGGCTCTCTCTCGCTCTCTCTGGCTCTCTCTCTCTCATTCGTCTCTTGCTTGCCAATCTGCAGTCCTTGCTCTCAGTGCAATAAAAATGAGAAAAAGTTGCACAGTGGGAGAGCGCAGGCGTCGCTGAGAGAGCAAGAAGGTCTCTCTCGCAGCTCTCTTTCAGGCAATATATCAATTTAATGGGGAAACGTCGGCAGTCGCTCTCCCGCTCTCGAACAACTCATTTTGATTGCTCTCTGCTCTGCCCTGCTGCTTTTCTGCTGCTTTCTCTTTGCTTTCTCTCTGCTTTCTCTCTGCCGCTGCTCGCTGTCAGCTCTGAACGATTCAATTGTCAAAAGATGTTTTAGTCGAACGAAACGGCTGAGCTGAACGCAATCATGTCGCATTTTTTCCTGAGATTTTCGCCAGACTTTTGAACGGTGGGTGGTGCAGTATCGGTACATCGCTCGACCTCCGCAGTATTTGCAAGTCCAGAAAGTGGTTTGCCAAAAACGAAAGTCCGAAAGTTCTACGCGTCGAAATAAATAAACACAAGTCTTGTGGCAAGTCGTCAATAAATCATCAACTTAATAGCCCCGCCAACACACACACGCACACACTACGGAGAAGAGGAAGCAGCAGGAAGTGAAATTGGCGGCAGTTTGACCGCAACAACAATAACAAATAACAAATAACAAATACGCCTGCAACACACAACCGCACGCACACACTCACACTCTCGCACACGCGTTCGTCATCAGCCGTGGTCCTCCGTTTCTGCCTCCGCCTCCGCCTCCCCCAACGCCGCCCCCTCCCCCACAACCATTGTGACATTTGATTTATTTGACGTGTGTGTTTTTGATAGAAGCTCAACACGAAACTGACACACACATACTGAACCAGAAGAACCAAAAGAATTTATTTAGTGAACGAAAATAAAATCACAGTTTTTTCGCGCATGTTCGAATCGAAGTGAAGTGCGACAACAGAAGGGAGCCAACAAAATATACAAAAAAAAAAAAACAAAAAGCAACAAAACAAAAGCCAAAAACCAAAACACAAATCCATCGCTATCAATGAGCAGACGGAATTAATTGCCAAACAGCCAAAAGTAATCTAACCTTCGGAGATTTCGGGCCCACAATAATCTCTAAAAATGATGCTTCACGAGGCTGTCATGCTGGAAATCTATCGCCAGGCGTTGAGTGCAAGGTGAGCGGTTCGACTTCCCCGACTTTCCCCCTTTCCCATATTTTTGTTATTTTGTTGCGTTCTATTTGGGCCTCCAAAGGGAGTTTCCCAAGTGGAAAAGTGTCGCGTGAACAGTGGATGCAACTATAATTAAATACGTAATGATACTCTGTTTGGAAGTCAAATGTATCTACTTTGGACAATGTCAAATTCTGAATATCTATAATCAGAATAAAAATATTTGAAGTGTCTAAATTTATGTTTTTTAGCTTGTGCACCGAACAAAAATTAACAACAATGTAAAAAGTTTGTCACTTGTGATCCCAAGGGTTCCAAACAATATATATTAAATGCTTGCTAACTGAATGCTTATTTAAAAAAAAAATTGCTTATAAGTTTGACACTAGCTATATTTGATTTTAATTACAAATGCAAGGTGAAGTGATATAGCTAAGCAGTCATAAGAATAAATAGCCCGATTTTTTACAAGCTGGAATAAAATACAAATATAGAAATACATAGGTTACGACTGTGATTTATAGTGCTTCAGTGCTTTTGGTTTTGTTTATGTTTTAGCTACTTAAAATGTTTATTTTGGTATACTTTATCATGTGGGACAAACTTTCAGGCGCTTAATGGAACTTTATTAATTACAAAATATATAAAGCAGATTTGGAATCTTTATTTAAAAAAGACACATCAATTCAATTGTCAAGTATTTGAGCGAGGCAAGATTACTCCTGAAAGATTAATTGATTTCTGGTTGGTATAAAAAAAAACATTGGATGGATGTTCTAAAATTGAAGCGAGGCAATGAAGCCATTTCATAAGCTCTTGTCTTTTATATACGTCTTAAAGGAAGAGTATTTAAAGTACATGTGCTCTTTTTTTTTGTGTAAGAACTTTCCTTTGACTGTTGACCTATTGAAGGCTTTGTTTATCTTTTAACTGATAAATGGTCATTCTACTGTTTACAATCTCGACCGCATCAAGTTCGTCAGAAAATTTAACTGACTTTGGACATTTGTCCTTCTGCAAGTTGTAAAACAACAAAATGTTTGGCTCCTGCTGATTACAAATACGCACATTAAGAACTTTTTGCATTAATTCACTATTTATGGTACAGTCGCCTTTTCCTAATCCAAGCCCTTCCCTCTTCCCATTCCAGCGAGTTGGCCAGTCCGCGCTGCCAGTCCCGGGAGTCCAACACCTCGGCTGGAGCGGTAACAGGATCCGGCGACGTGCGATGTCCATCGAATGAGTCGCACTGCTCGGCCAACGATCGCCTGACTCCGGCTGCCACGCCCACGCCCACGGTCACGCCCCTCTCGCCGCACTCGGTGGGTCTGCCGCTGGCGGCGACACTTCCCCCGCTGCAGCGGCTGCCCTGCTGCCGCCCCAATCCGCCGCCATGGCCGCTTACCTGGCCGCCGCCCAGCAGAATCACTTGCTGCTCACGAATCCCCTGGCGGCAGCGGCCTCCCTGGTCCAGCAGGTGGTGGAGGAGGGCCAGGGGGAGGGGGAGGGTGAGCCACCCGCCCTGGACTTCAGCAGGAAGCGTCCCACGAGCGACGCGGAGGAGGACGAGGAGGGGGGAGGGGGAGGGGGAGGAGGAACCGGAAGAGGAGTGCGAACAGGATGTCCAGGGCGACACTGGACCTCTGGATCTCTCTGTCAGCACGAGAAAGCGGCAGGGGCACGACTCGCCGCCAGCCAGGAAGATACCGCGAAGTATATGCGCGGATTACAAGTCACCACTGCCACCTGGCAGTTGGATGCCCCCCATCAATCCCTACTTGGCGGCCGTGGCAGCCAAAACCGGAGGACTGGGTAGCTCCAAGATGGCTCCCAGCGAGGCCAGCAAGGCGCTGGAGAAGATGAGTGAGATGAGTCGCCGTGAGACGCCGCCGCCCGTGGCAAGGAACTCCTCTGGCGGGCCAGTCTCGCTGGGATCCGCGGTGTCGGGGGGCGCAGGAGCTGCCACCGGTGGTCGCCACAGTGCCTGGCAATCGCACTGGCTGAACAAGGGCGCCGATGCGGCCAAGGACGTGTTTAAGTGCGTGTGGTGCAAGCAGAGCTTCTCCACGCTGGCCAGCCTCACCACACACATGAAGGAGACGCAGCATTGCGGCGTCCAGATACCCTCGCCCTCGTCCGCCGGCGCAGGAGCAGGAGCAGGCACTCCCTCTGCCCCGCCTCCCTCCAGGCTGACCACCTCCGCCTCCGCCTCGAACTCCGCCTGCTCCAGCAGCAGCAGCTCCACGTCCAGCTCGTCGAACTCCTCGAAATCGGAGTTGAACATGCTGATCAAGGAGACCATGCCGCTGCCCAGGAAACTGGTGCGCGGCCAGGACGTCTGGCTGGGCAAGGGCGCAGAGCAGACGCGCCAGATACTCAAGTGCATGTGGTGCGGCCAGAGCTTCCGCTCGCTGGCCGAGATGACCAGCCACATGCAGGAGACGCAGCACTACACGAACATCATCTCGCAGGAACAGATCATATCCTGGAAGTCGGGCGACGAGCGGGACCGGCCCTCGAACGGCGGTGCCCCGCCCCCCGCCGCCACCTCCACTGCAGCCCCTTCTGCTCCCACTGGGGGCACGGCTCCCTCCGTTAGCGCCGTGCTCACCTGCAAGGTTTGCGATCAGGCCTTCGGCACCCTCAAGGAGCTGAGCAGCCACATGGCCCAGCAGTCGCACTACAAGGAGTCGCCGACCGCCTCCGCCTCCGCCTCGCCACCAGCTCCCGGTGGCGGTGGCAATTCGAAGAGGGGCAGGCAGAACCGCAACGAGAAGCGCAAGAAGTCGCTGCCGGTGAGAAAGCTGCTGGAGCTGGAGCGCTCCGGCTCGGGTTCGGGTTCCAGTTTGGACTCGGCACTGAAGCCGCTGAGGGACTTTGCCGCCGCCACCAAGATCACCTGCGAGAAGTGCGGCAGCAAGATAGAGACCGCCCTCTTTGTGGAGCACATCCGGAAGTGTCTGGGCGAGAGCATACCGATCCCGCCCAGGCGGTCCGCCCAGGGCACGGAGCGGCTGCCCAGTCCCGGCGAGAAGCCGCCGTCGGTGCTCAATGCCCTGGAGCAGCTGATCGAGAAGAGCTTCGAGTCGCGGGCGGGCAGGGCCATGACCCCGGGCGGCTACTCCGAGGCCGGCACTCCGCTGGGCGCCAGCATCCTCAAGCGGCTGGGCATCGACGACAGCAGCGACTACACGAAGCCGCTGATGGACGCCCAGGCCATGCACCTGCTGCGCTCCTCCTACGCCTCCCGGGATCGCAGCGCCAGTGAGTCGAGCTCGGCCAGCCGGGTGGAGTCCTCCTACACGCCGGACAGACAACAGGTCACGCCACGTCGCACGCCGGACACTCCTGCCCCTGGCCCTGCCCCTGGGCCGCCCCTTCCGCCGCCGCCGCCCACCATCAAGGCGGAGCCGCCGGAGGCGGAAGCCTCGTCGGGTGGCGATCGCGAGGGCTGCAGTCCGCGACAGCAGCAGATCCACGTGAAGAAGGAGTTCAGCATGGAGGCGAGTCGGCAGAGTCCCCGCTCGGCCAGCGAATCTCCGGCGCCGCCGACCGCAGGATCTGCTCCAGATAGTGGCAGCTTGCTGGCCCTCAACTCCATGTTCGATCAGCTGAGTGGCGTGGAGCACAACAACAACAACAACAACAACTCGGGTAGGTGCAAATTATGTGAGGAAATGCTGATGTTGGTGGGGAATGAAATGCACTAGGTACAGTGAAACTAAATGTTATGTTCCGACAAAAACAATATTTATATTTAAAACACAACTGATATAAAATTGAGCCACAAATTCATAAAGAAATAATAATTTTGCGAAGAACCAAATAAGATATTAATAATTAAATCTACTTTATTGATGTCATATTTTGACTGTTGTAGCCAACAACTTGAAAAAGAAACTTGATTTAACTGGACTTTGAGTTATTAAGTTGACGTTAGCCTAGTTTTTGGTCTCTATGGCCTTTAAAAACTGTTTAGTTTATAATGTTTGAGCTATTAAAAACCAAAACGACAATATGCTAAATCAGTTTTTTATGTTTGAAAAATGCAAAAATAAAATTTATTGTTATTTTGTGTACTGGTTTCCTCCGAGTACTGGTAAAAGTTAGACGCCGCAAATCTTCACTGACCATTCTCCGATTGCCTTATGCATAGTTCTAATCCTATCTTTTGATCCTTGTTCCAGGACACTGCTACAACAGCAACACGGGGAGCAACATCTCCGGCAAGAAGCCCAAGGCTCATCCCCTGGCTGCGCTGCAGAAGCTGTGCGAGACCACGGATCCACCTGCCCCGCAACCGCGGAGCGGTACCGCCTCCGGACCCCCGCCCGCGTCCACCGGCCACGGGAGCGACCTGGTGGCCTTCAGCTGGGCCTGCAACGAGGCGGTACTGAGTGCCAGCAGCGGCGGCTCCGGCGGCGACGCGGCCATCATCAAGTGCTCCTTCTGTGATACGCCGTTCGGGTCGAAGGGCGCCTACCGCCACCACCTGTCCAAGGTGCACTTCGTGAAGGACGCCGGCGAGGAGTCGCCGCGGCTCAAGTCGCCGGCCGCCCAGAGCCCCAAGTCCATGCCCATGGCCTCGCCCAAGCGGTCGGCCTCCCGGAGTCCGGCGACGGGACCTCAGCAGCCGCCGCCGCCGACCCCGTCGCCCACCATCAATCCCTACGACGAGAGTCCGCAGTCCAAGTTCCTCAAGTACACGGAGCTGGCCAAGCAGTTGTCCTCGAAGAACGCCTAAGGATGCGTCAGGTTCGCTAGTGGAAGGCTAAGGAGTTGGAGCACTCACAAGATGCCGGAATGTTGGGTGCTTATGCAAATAATAGTGCCTATTAGCGAACAGATTGTAGACAATGGGAAACGAAGACAGCTACGTAATATGATCTCATTTCAAAACTAACACAATGTACCCTTAACTCTTGCTAAAAAGTAAGATAACAGTTTTGTTCAAAAATTAAAAATTATAAACTTACACTCCCTTAAAATCTTGCAAATGCAAAAGAACTGTCTGAATTACATTTTAAAATATCCGAAAAGAGATCTGTTCGCTAAAAGAGGTATACACTTGCAAACATAAAACTTGATTTCGAAAACCGAAGATTTAAAATCTCGAAATTCCAAACTCAAAACCGAGATTCCAAAAGCTCTCTTCTCTGCATTGATTTCTGATCTGTGCTCTTGCAGACGCTCTCTCTCTCTCTCTCTCTCTCTCTATCTCTCTTTCTGTTTCTCTCTCTCGAGCGCTGCACACCCACACACTCTCACACTCACAGGGATTTCCCCTACATTTGCTGAATTCGCATTTCCCCAGTCTCACAGCTCTCCTCTTGGGGTTTCCCCTCGTCAGTGACGTCACAGCAAATGCTGGTCCGCTTTTTATTGTTTCCCAATCGGACAGTCGCAGTTGGACGTGCGAGCGAGAGGGGGCTAGCCAGCTGGAAATTCAATTACCACCACTTTGACGAACTGCTGTCCATCAAGGCGCGTCGGACAGAGATGGCCATAGTGACGGAATGACGAAAGGCGACGACACGAGTTCGTCAAACTACGTTCGGATGGGGGCGAGAGGGACAGCAACAGCCCCGGTGGGTGGGGAGAGAGCGAGAGAGTGGGTGAGTGGCTCGATTGAGTGGCAAGTGTGATTTTGAGTGCAAATCGGATTAGAGTGCACTCAGAGCAAACGAGTCAAACGTTATTTATTTAAAATGCCGCAGTTCCTGGCCAAAAAAAAAAGATTAAAAGCGTGCCAAAAAAATTCCAATTACTTAATTCTAATAAGCTAAACTAAAACAATTAAATCAGTACACCTAAGCAGTTACAAACAAACGCAACGCAGTATACGTAAAATCTTAACACTTAAAAAGTTAACCTCATTTTATGGTTGAAGGAAACTTTTAATGATGCATATATATGTAGCCTCATACCAAATAATGCATTGAATTAATGTAAATATCTAGCCAATAGCACTTTCCTTCCATATGTCTAAAGATTATCAATATTTACATACATAAAGGTATAGAAAGTCGAAATCAAAATGTAGCCACAGCAACGCATGTATACGGAAACAATTTTAAAAATTATATATACACCACGAACTATATGTACACGAACTATATGTATACCATATACCAACCACTCCAATCTCAACAATAACTAAGAACCTTGAATATCTAACCTAAGAGTTAAGCCTAAGAGGAGGAGGACTTTGCAGAATGTAAAACATTTCATTATTATCAACAACAATCATTATGGACGTCATCTCTCGTCGGCAATAATTTAAATTTATATCTATGATATATGGCAACTATGTATACGACTTGTATTTGGGTTTTTGTGATATTATTTTTAAAACGAATCCGTTCGCTTCCTTTTCGCTACGCCCCCACCCCCACCCACAACCACACCCACATCCTATATCCTGCAACACCTCCCAAACGCCCCTAGATCGTAAGTTAAGTTATATTACCGCAATAAAGGCGCAGCATTCAAAATACAAATTACTTGATTTTCTCTCTACGAACAAGCAAAACAAAATCGAATCTGGACTTGATCTAATTGAAATCTTTGATCCCAAATTAGTGCGCAATTTGCAATCCAAAAGAAATTATCAAGTTTTGGAGGCGGATGAAGAGTTCAATAAAAAGTTGTATGTTTACGATTAAAAGAGGCTTTTGATTACCTTCATTTATTTTTGGGGTATTTGTGGATAACATTTTTTGAACTTCGTTGGGTCTCATCTGTCCGGACTGATTTATTGATTTCGGTACATAGCAATAACAAAATCATTTAATTTTTTTTCAATTGAAAGAAATTCTAAAAAATAAATGTGAAGCAGAATGGTGATTGCTTAAATCAAAATTACCTCAATACACATTTAAATTGACAAATGGTGTCAATTCAACCCCCATCCTGGAGAGTATTATTAGTTAAACGACAGACAGAATTAAAGTATAGGTATTTATTCAATACCTAATAAGGTTTTATAAATTCTTAAGCATTATTTCCAAGTTTTAAAAATCCTTAATTTATTTCTGATACACCCCAAACCATTTTTTGAGATATTGCAGCTAAGAATTTACTGTGTTATTCAATTAAAAAAATTTTATTTATTTTAAAAATATTTTTGAATTTTTTGGTTTATATTACTTCTGTAGGACGTAACAGGTAAATATACTTTTATTTAAAGAGCATTAGTTAGCTGAGTTTGGTTAGGGAACCAAAAATCCATTTTAGTTATATGAAAAAGTTAAATTGACAAATTTCTCCAGAGATCAAAAGTTGGTTTTTATTTTATGGTAACATCACTTTTAGATCAACTCAAGTTTTGGCCCTGATCAAGCTTTCTTTAAAACTAGGCGTATAACAGATTATTGCAAGCAGAAGCTAAGTATAAAGTTCTAGTCCTGTAGGCATTTAAATTAAACTTGATGTTAACAAATTTTAATGACCTTTAAACAATTATATAATTGTTAATATATATATTTTTTTAAGCTTAAATCCTTCATTTTTCTTAATATACACATGTAGGCACAGTTTTGATATGCCATCTCCCAGTAGTCGCTCAATTAGCTAATCATGTTTGTATTTTAGCCAGCCTTGGGCAGTGGCCTAATCTGCAATTAGCCGGGCCTTTCAATTGCTCCCCAATTGGCCGAATTTCGGGGCTGGCCAAAAGCCCAGTTAATTGTGAAACGATGGTGCCCGAAACATGGCATATCAAATTGTAAACTAATATTTGCTAATAAACACGCAGAGTTAATTAAACCTGAATTATGGGCACATGGTTGTGTTAACTCCGTGGGGTGGTATTTTGGATGGGAAAGGGGTGGGAAAGGACGATGCAGGAACAGGAACATGCGCGAATTCGCTGATTTATGGGCAACAAAGGATTAAGACAACGACATCCAGATACCGATGGCAACTTCATACGCATATCGCTCTATCCCTGTCTCTTTCTGCACGCCTATCGCCCTCTCTTTCGGGCGACGTTGATGACGATCCGACGCCAACAAAAATCTCCTCGAAAACTTCAATTGCCAAAGGATTCATTTTCACTTAAAATTTATGATGTGTGTGCGTTGGGGGCTGGCTCTTAAGTGCACAGAAAAAAAATCTTTATGTATTATTTAGTTGGTAAATGGAAAGTTTTGTGTTGCCTTTTTCTTATTAAGAAAACAAAAATAAACAACATTGTTTTTTTTTCTTGTGCTAACAAAGATTTCCCTCCAATGCGATAGTTACTTTCTGTTGAATTTGAGCTGTAACAATAAAGCTAAATTATTTTATTTTTTGTCTGTGTACATTTTGTACATATATGATGTGCCCCGGGGGAGTGGGAGTGGGAGTGGCAGTGTGGGGGGACATGTGCTGGGTGTCACATTTGTGTTAAGAGATAATTTTTGGAAAATGTTCGAAACAACTTTTCTGGCCCGCCTCAGTTTTCAGTTCGGCTTCATTGATGGCTTGGTTTTTGGGGGCGGTGGCGCGGTTTTCTTGCCTCCGAAAGTTGCACACGGGACACCTTTGGGTTGACCTCCCACCCCCAAAAAACCCCGCCCCTGCCCCGCCCCTTGCCGCTGCTCCGCTTAATGAGATACAAACACATAAATTCTGAAAAGTGTCATGCATCGCACATAACGCTTTACTTTTTTGCTCTTTGATAAGCCAACAAAACTGCCGACACTGACACTGTCTCTCTATGTCTATGCGGGGGCGGGGGAGGGGATGGGAGAAAGTGGGTGAAAGTGGGAGGAGAGTGGTAGAGCCCGAATGTGTGGGCAAAGTTAACTCGTGAGTCCTGAGGCAAAAACAAAGAAATCATATTTATATGGGCATAATGTCAAGATCGCAAGAGGAAGGCAAACATGACAAGAAATAAAAATTACGGATAGTTGGGAAGTAAAACAAGGATTAAGGATATGCTATCGAGATATATAGATTTTCATTTGATTCGATTCGTTTTCTGTAGTACCTAATTAGATTTACAGCCAAATATATCTTTAAAAAGAACAATAGAGTTATAATAGTAAAAAAAATATATTTATTAAATTGCTTTAGAAGATGAAATATTAGCGAATAACGTTAAAGTTATTTAATTGAATAAAAAATGGCAAGAGCAAGCTATTTTGGTAAGGAAAATCTTCATAAATTGTATTTGTTACTGTTCACAAAGTTAAAGTGAAATAATAAAAAAAAATTAATGATTTTATTTCAAATAGGTTTTGTCTTATCTACTTCTTTTAAAAATTAAAATAGAAACCGAGCTTATTAAGCTTAAGCAGCTAAAACTAATTATTACATATTTATTTCTTTATTTAAAAAAAGGTAAATAAATAAATGGTGTCCTTGTGTGCTGTTCATTTTTGCAATGGTGGCTACGATGTCAATCCGTGTGATAATTCCACCCAACGCCCACAATCCGCCCACTAAATGAGCTTGTGAAAATCTCAGTTCTCTGTGCGACACTGTGTGTGTGTGTGTGTGTGTGTGTGTGTGTGTATGTGTGTGTGACTCCTGGGTGTTGGTGTGCTCATCAGTGAGCCATACGCTTGCCATATATCCTGTGGCATGCATAAAGAAAAGTGTAATAAAATTTGATTTATTGTAGACAAGATTCGAGTCGGATATGTTTCCCCCTCCTCGTCCACGTGAGTGTGTATATAAGCCAGGATGTTTGTGTGCATTTCGCATGCTCATTCGCTGCTGCTTCCACGCCTGCGTCTCGCTTACAAGGCGGCGTCTTCCGCCCACCGCCCACCGCCACCTCCTTTTTTCGGGGCACACACATCCTGGCGAATGAGGCGTCGGAACTCACCACCCACCCGACGCCACCCGACGCCACCCGCCCCCAGGGCGACTCATGCATCACTCGTCTAGATATCATTCATCTCGTTTGCTGCCGTTTACCTCGGCACATTACCCACTCCCACCCACCACCCACCGCCCACAGCCCACAGCCCATACAATCGCATTCACATTTTCTGACACTTTTGCTAAACTTTTGCACTGCAGGCGCTCGTCCTGCGTCCTCTGGCAGTCTCATTAGTCCTCGCCGGGCTGTGGCTTCTGTTCCCGGCTCCTTCATCGCCATCACAGTCTGCGTCGCATCTGAATCAGATTCGGGATCTGGTGGTGGGTGGGCGTTCCTTTGGAGCTGTCTGCCTTGGCTTTTTCTGCCAAGAAAAACTGAAAAACCTTCGCATTTGTAGGACAGAGAGGGACTGAGAAAGTCTGTTTCTGTAATTGCCATTTTGTAATTATTTTACTTGAGAATGGGTTGATGATTTCCCGCATTACACCACGATGATCTACGGTGGTCGGGATATTCAATAGTAATATAGAGCCAAATGAATGGTTCGGAGTAAAAATATGTTAACCATGGTTTGCTGCAGCTGAGTTAGTTAAGTATAAAACTGCAAATTTTGAATAAATATATTTATTTTTCAGAAACAAGTGCGCATATGTCATTTGCAGTTGACGTTTCTATCTGATTTTAATATTTTTCACAAAATACCGAAGGTATTATATTCAGAAAGATTTATCTAAGCTCGAATTTATCACAAGAAAAATGAGCATTATCTTTAGTTCGCAGAACAACTCAAGTAATTTTGTTTATTTATAAGCCAACACGCATACACCCAAAAAATATTATTCTTAAATATTGAAAAAATTGTTTTTCCTACATTTAAAACAAAATTTTAAAATATGGAAAATAAATTCTGAGTTTTGGAAAATGTTAAAAAAAAAAAAAAAAATTTAAGAAAATATTTTCTAAGCAACAGGAATTTGTTTTAGCAATTTTCTTAATTTTCTTCTTCTTCTTCTAACGCGTTTATGAATCCAAAGGTCCTTGGTTCAAATCATGGTTGAGAAGAAGTGAGTTTGTTGTTCCCTCTCCTTTCATACACACACTATAATTAATCGTATTTCCTGTCCTTTTGTTCCAATTAAAGAGAGTGAGTTCAATAGGGGTTGGGTACATACTTACAAAAATTAATATAATATTAAATAACAAATATAAAAAAAGACACCAGCCCGTTCCCCTCCCAGGGCTTAAGGAATTTTTTACAAACTCAAAGGTGAATTTTTATGTTTTAGAAAAAAAAATTGGAGTGTAGGTACAATCACACAAAGTTAAACTTATGTGAATTATAATTTAATAGTTATTAGTTATATTTTAATAACTTCATGTTTATTCATCTGTGTATTGAATAGAGCTGAGGCACCAAAGTGACATTGGCATCACGCATACGCACTGTTGGTCAAGCATTTAACATATTGAAATATTTGCAAACATTTTGAGAACGTTTAGGTTATTTTGTTTTATTTTATAGGTGTGTCCTCACGGATGCGTGGTAGTGTGTATTTGAGAACTTTTGCATTATGGTTGGTGGAGACATAAATCAAAATACCATTACGCCCGAAAGGTCCGCCCATATCAGGAGACAACCCATGCCGTGATTTATTAGAAAAACTGCAAGGGAAAACCCCAAAAGAAGGGGGCGAAAGGAAAACAGGAGCAGCATCCAAAGCCGGAGCCGGAGCAAGAGCCACAGCAGCAGCA